CCCTAAAAGGCATGAATGCTCTCCAATTTATCAACATCCATCTTGAACTGTAGATACCACAACTGGACGCAGTACTCCAGCAGCAGTGTGTAGCAATGTTCCCCACAGTCTAATCGTGCACTGACTGAGAAAGTGTTCCTTCAAACACTTGGGAATTTGCTAGAGTTCAATTTCACCAAATGTGCTTGTGTTCTTATGTTATATGACAGTCAAAATGAAAGTTCCTCATCTTCCACCTCTATAATACTCATTATCTTAAATTATACACATATATATCATGTTTCCTTTTATTCGTCTCCTTTCTAAAACAGTGCCATCATTTTTAGCCTAAAGTTTGTGCAGCCTTAAAAACGCAAAATTCTTGGCTTCCAAGAATAACAATATTCATGCCAAAGGATCGCCACGTGATTTCAGCAGTGGCTGATGGATAGATAAATAGACATGAATCATTTCTCTTCCTCTATTAAAACGTGGGCACACTTGATGCAAAACATAGTAACTATTTAACAGCACCCAAGAGCATTACAAAACAAGGACAGAGAATGGCAAATTGTATTCAGCTGAAACTGCAGGGGAATTCCACTAGGTAGAATGTAGTTAATATATACTTTTTCTTGATTTAATCTCTACTCTTTGTAACGAGAGAGGTAGAGCTTGTGCCATACTTCAAGTAGTGACACAGAAAATATGTTCCCACACAGCAGATGTTCTTTAATGACCAGATCTACCTTAGATTGAACCCTTCTACAACAGCGTGAATAGTACAATCAGCTCCTAGGAACAAAACTGTTCTGACTGTTTAATTTTCACTACTGCTAGTATCAGATCAGTTAACAACAACAGTTTATCTTCTAATACTGTCAATCTTCAATTTCTGTGTATAAAACAAAACATAAATGAGGAAACTGGGGGAAAAACTGCACTTACAAAACAAATTTGACAAACTAAATTCCTCTATTATAATACACTGCTGCAGCATAATTTTTCCCTCAGATGTGACACCAAATAAAATATCATCCTGTGGCACTCTAAAGGGAAAAGCAGGAGTTCATTTTATCAGCTTCATATTTCCTTGGGGTATTATCCACTCTATGAAAAACCTACTTTGAAATGGGATCTCTCTCTTCCTCACAGATTCTAATGGGAACAGTAAATCAGTTTTATAGAAGTATAAGCTGAATTCCCAAAGGGCTTCAAGCCAGTTCAGAGTATGCTATGGGATACAGTAGCATTTTTTAAAAAGTTTTTACAATACTGATTGTGATGGGTGTCCAACAGTTCACCATGCACATTCAAAGCCTCAGAATGGCAACACAGCATGGGACACATTAAATAGAGAAGAAGAAAATGAAATGCAAAAAGTAGGACAAGTATCATCAATACATAAAACTGCTAGGCTCAATATCTGCAGCGAATGGAATATTTTATCATTTCAAATTCTCTTATATTTCAATCTGTCAGGGCCTGATTCTGATCTGTTTACTTGCAGCTATGTCATGGTTAGTCCTATTGATTTCAGTACTGAGGCCTCTATTCTTTCTTGACGGCCTGTAGAGGAATATCAGGTACTCTCTGACCTGAACAAGGGTATCTACATTGAGCCCTCATGGAATCTGAAGGAACAGGGTCTTTTCTTATTGCTTTACTGCTTCCCTAAATATGTTCTCATTTGTTTGATATTCTTGGTGGAAAAAAGGCATTGTTGGAAAAAGAAGTCATTACAACAAGTATAGCCATTAAAGTTCATCCTCAAAAAACTTATATATGGGTTCTTATGGTATAAATTGACATCGTCAAATGAAGAGAATCAGTTGAACCAGGATATGTCCCAGCATAACTCATCCACTTGACTGGATGAAGCACATATTGTCCATTTTACTGCCTGTTGATCCTGCTGGATAACAGGTGATGTGTTCGTCCTGGGGAATGAATCCTCTGGGCCATATTTCTATAGGTGGGGAAGCCAACTCTGATGTGGTTCTGGGGCTGAGACTATGAATCTTTCTTATCAATAGCCTTTTCTTCCTGCTGCAAGGCAATATCCTCCCCAGTACACTGCAACGTGATAGTATTTTGAGAGGATTACATAAGCTTCCCTCACTCTGGGCAACTAAAATCACACAAATTCTAAAAGAGCTCTTTGTCTGTTTCTGTCTTTCACACTTCTGCCCACACCTTTTATTATAGTCAATGACTCTAGTCAAAATCCTGAAAATATAAACAAGTATTTTGAATATGGTGTCATTAGAATTCATGTGTTTTCACTTTTCATTAGGATTTAACATTATCTATTTCCCTCTTCCCTTGTAATATGACCAATCTGCTGACAGGTGTTTTGCCATCTTTAAGATGCCCTTGATTTTTTTATTCATTTGCCAGCATCTCTTCATTAAATGAGGAACATATTCTATTTATCTTTCCACACTTTCCACTATCACAGCTTCACTGGAAGGAGCACAACACACTGTGGTCAGAGAAGTATTACATACAGCAGAGATCATGCCCTCTATGTAAGTAGCCTAAAGCATGTTTTTGGGTAGAAGTTTTCTTTTAAAAAATGCTCACTTGCATCACAATTGCAGGAAATAGTTAATAATTAAGGACCTCTGGACATTTTATCCAACTTCATTTAATATGCATCTTCTGCCAGATGCCCGTTGTAAATGGCCTGCCTTTGTTTTCCTTGAGACTTGGGTGCTGGTTATATGTTAGGTGCCACCATGGGCAGGTTAGGATTTTGAAAAGGGAGTGCAGATGGTGAGGTGCATCACCACGTATCAAATGACACATATTTTTCTCCAGTTAAAATAAACTATAAGCTTTACTAATATGCTAGGGGCCCATGTCTGTATTATTCAGTTTAAGTTTGAAGCAGGAGCTGGGGTGGTACAGGTGCCAAGGCGCATGGTTAACAGGTCATAAATTCAAAGCCATTGCAGAAGTGCTCATAGTGAGGCTTGTCAGAGTCCAATGAAATCTGTGAATTCTGCTAAATATCTTGTCACAAGGACATGAAAAAGGAAGGAACGACTGAAGTAAAAATGAATATAACTTCATTGGAATGAGTTAAAAACAATCTGCAAGGCTCTGAAATAGAAGCTTCTTTACCAGGAGCAGCCAACAGACTTCAGAATTATAGAACAAAGGATAACTTGATTGGTGAAACAACATTTAAAAAAGAGAGGGTCAGTAACACTCGTGGAAAAAAAAATTTAGAAGGGATCAGGTAGATTATAAGGATCCATGACATCAAGCTACTCCCTCAGCACTGCCTAATTTTAAATGCTGCTGCCACTGCCAGATAGACCGTTTTAAACTTCACTGGTAGACCAGGAATCAAATGGGGGTGCACCTCTTGTGGATCAACCCCTGGGTACCACATATTTATTAACAGATACTCAGTTCTCTGGCAACTCCTCAGGACACAGATGGATTTCAATGGACAGGAAAACTTAATTTATGTCCCCTGTTAGCTGGTTTCCTAGCAGGAGATTTTTCTTTCAAATTTACAACCTCTAACACCGTAGTCCAAGTCGCTAAGCCTAAGATTGTTCTGTTTGGCTAGGGACAGAAATTACAC